TGTTATATTTTTCAGAACCTACTGTGAAATAAGTTTAATATATAATCACAAAATGTAGCTCTAAGACAACATGAAATTAAACAATACATTCTGGTCCACGATAATTGAAACACATTATGTTCAATTAATCATGAATATAACTATTATATATAATAATATAAGTACTCTACACTGTAAATTTTCATTGTGAAAATAATTCTATTACTAAATTTTTTGTGGTCAAAATTAGAATTGTTTTTAATTTTTTTCAATATGTTTAAATTGAAACAAATAACTATTTTCAAGTAATAATATAACCTAAAATGATTATTGTTTAATTAGGTACAATCAAACTGTTAGTGATATTGATTATTATATACTTTGGCAAAATATTAAAATGGTAGTTTTGCATCAAATTATTGTATAATATTAGTTTTTTGTTGCTTAAAAATATTATTAAATCCAAATCTGTTTTTTCAATTGATTCGTAAAAATTATGTCAGACCAAATATTTATTCGGTCTGACATAATTTTTGATGTTTTTATGAAAAATCTTCATAAAAAACTTTTTTAGCAAACAATATGCCTCACTCCTCAATTAATTCATTTTATTATTACCACAATAAGAAAATGTGTAAACTTTTTATTGACCATCATTTTAAAATTCTTAAAGATATTTTAAAAAAACAAGAAAATAGTTGAAACATAAAAATTCGGTTATTAATAAATTTTGTTATGAGTTACAAATTTCACTATTAGTTGCAATTTAAATTAGTTTAAATTTTTACAACTTATTAGATGTTTATGAATGATTTTTTTATATTACATTTATTTTGTCTCATAAACTGTGATGCCTGGGGCTCACTATTTTTTTGCCCCTCCCTTTTAACGGCCCTAGAAGTACCTACACTAGTTTTGAAAACCCTTTTTAAAAAAATTAACTATACAAGCTTCACATGATCGTCAAATGCTGTTTTTTAAACTAATACTCAATATTCATGTAGTCTTACCTATAATAAAAGGGAAGGTTGGATTTTGAAAAGAGTTTAACATTTCTATTACCCAAAAAAAAAAACCCAATCGGTAACTACATGACATAATATTATACAAGGTGAAAAATATAACATAAAAATACCACGTATAACATATCATAATAAAAAGTGGTCTAAGTATAGTGTAAATTAATAGTGTTTCTTATTATATAAACTACCAGTACATTTTGAAAATAAAAGAATAAAATTAAGATTAGTAAAAAAAAAAAAACGACAAGAAATTTTTTGTTACTTTAGATATATACATGCTGTTGTAAAGAAAAACTCGTAGAAATATAAGAAGACTTATCAATGAGTACATCTTTAAACGGTTAAATAAAGTCTATTTTTATACATTTTTTTTAAAGTCTATTTATATATGTAAAAATACTTTATATAAAAAAATAAAGTGTGTTTTTATATATATAAAGTCATTTTTATATATATTTAAAAGTGATTAAACAATATGCAGTCAATAATACACCGCAAATAATTTAGTATAAATTTTAACCTAATTTTTAAGTTTAAGTTCAATACTTGTCGATATAATTGTTGATATTAAGTATGAGGTGTTTTAATATACTTTTCAAGATAATAGAACTGTTTAATACTTTATGATCCATTTTTTGGGTATTATTTTATTATATAGGGACGGACCCCGGTAGGAAATAGAAAACCGTGCGAATTTTATTGTTCATTTAGGCAGTGTCAAAGTGTGCACCGGACCTAAAAAAGACGTCTTTTGAACGTTCAAATAGTACTCACGTCCGTGTGCACTGGGGTGAGATTGCCTATTGTTCTTGTTATATATCTGGTAGAGTTTACTTGAAAGAAGTAATCTAATCTGCATAGGCACATCGGTAGTGCAAGTTTGTATTTAAGCATTAATAGTACATTTTGGTAGATGTTGATTTGGTAAACATTTTGTGCATTCAAAGTTTTTAGTAAAGGTTCAGCATGGGTGAGTTTATCATTATTATAAACTAATCTTGATGCATGTTTTAAACTTATATGAATAGTACTCAAATTGAATTTGTGTGTACTTGCCTATGTAATATTAGCGTACGTAAGATAACTTTGGATGTAAGAAAAATAAAGCAATTTAAGATTATGTTGGGACAACATAGGTTTAACTTTGTAGAGTATCCCAATATTTTTGAAATTTTGGTGTTTATTTTATTTATAAGAGCTCTTCAAGATATATTTTCGTCAATAAATATCCCAAGACATTTAGCTGTTTCTGTACTTTAAATGTTTACTTTAATAAACAAAAAATCTTTTTTTAATGGACAAAAAATCTTAAGCTTTACGAAAATTGTTTTAAACCAAAAGACTTCTCCTTAGTCAACTTCAAACTGAAAAGAAGCTAAATGTTTTTTGTTTGGTTTTACTAAAAAAAAAATTTTGAAATATAATAAACGTTAATAAACGTTATGAAATATAATAAATATAATAAACGAGCAGCCGTGGCGCAGTGGTAGCGCACTTGCCTCAGAAACGTAGGATCCGTGGTTCAAACCCTACCTCTGGGCAAGTTTTGCGACATCGGTTAGGAAGGAGGCGTGAACTTCCTATTAAATGCTCTTCCGCGGTGCTCTGTGATAAGACCGTTAGGACTTCTTGGGGCACCTAAAATCAACATAAAAAAAAAAAAAAAAAAAAAAAAAAAACGTTCCTTTTTGCCCATCAGGGTTTATTAGGCAGCTAAATGAAAATCTCAAACAAAACTAAAACTGAATAAATAAGAAAGGGGTCGTCCATAAAATACGCACGCTC